AGTGCAGAAAATAAATGGACAAGATCTTTTATGCCCAGTTCCTTTCGCTGGCATAGAGTCAGATTCCTGGACATGCCAGAACCCCATGACCTGCACTGGGTAAGCACAAAGTAAGTGAACCATAAATGTCAATCAGACACACAAAGGAGCACAAGTATTGGCTCCAGAGTTCACCAAGTCAGTGCATCTCTCAGCTGTGGTGCTGTCAGTAAGGCTGGCAGTTAGCAGGTGAAAGAGGCCACCTCACCTGGGCTGCTGTGGCCAGCGGAGAGCTGGTGCCTTTAGTACGAACTGCCTGGATCTTTAGGGATCCTGCTTAAGTAGGTATCCTTGGGGTGAATGCCCTTAATCTACTTGCAATCCTGGAATTTAGCTGGGAATAAGGTATGCATAGCTGCAGGTTCCTCTGTCCCCTCTATCCAAGAGGCTCCCTTGGGAGTGCCAACCTCAGAGATAGGACACAGGTGGGCTGAGCCTGGCACTTCCAGGCACCATCAGGCAGGGACCTTGCAGAAGTCTCCCAGGAGCCTTGACACCCTCAGTCTTCCACCAAGATGCAAGAGGCTGTGAACAGCAATTCAGTCATAAGTCTTTCCTCACCTGGCCCCCCAAGACACCAAGGGCACAGCAGGGTCTTCCCTGTCACAGCAGCTCCTTCTGTCTTGGTCAGCCCCAGGTCTCCAGAGTATTTGGGAAAACGATTTGGGGTCACAGTCCTTTAGAAAGGAGTGAGCCACTGAAAAAAATGGGGGCACAACCAGCAGCTGCTGCCTTTCCTCTAGGGCACTGAGCCCCTCAGTTGGGAAGTGGAGGTAAGACTTTCTATCTCACAGGGAGTTGTCAGCATTAAATGAGAACAACCTTGACAGGATTCCAGACTGCCGTAGTGAATAAGAAATGTTGGGTTTCTTTCTTCTCTTCGGAGCTGAGGAATGAGGTTGTCTCTGGGGTCTCTTCTGCCCCAACCATGTCAATGTATACTAAGTGTACACTAAGTGGTCCCTTCTCAGGCATCCTCAGCCTTCTCCCGAGGGATTTATCCAGGAAAATCTGACACTCCAGCAGGAGCCCCACCTTAACACCTCTCCTTTGGAGAGGCCTCCCATATTACTAGCTGCTCCCCACCCTGGCACTCTATGGCTCTTATCCAGCTCTGTTTTTCTACATAGCCCGTAATACTGACATGATATCACACATATTACACACCAAACATATCCATTACAAGTTGCCCATTTCCTACTCTGAAATCTAAACTCCATGAGACAGTGGCCACCCCCAACACCTAGTGCAGAGTGGGCACATTGTGGCTCTTCTACTGTTCATGACTGGCCGAGGGAGAAAGCAGGGCTGAGGACTCGGCCGGGAGGATGTGCACTCAGTCTGCTTTCCCTATGCCCTCCCAATGATCTCACTACCGTAGGGCTTGGCCTCTGGAGCTGCCCCCTACCCCAGCAACCCTGCTCAGGGCTTGGGGGTGCAGTTTGCCTCTCAGGTGACACCTGTCCTGCCTCTGTGGGATGAGACCAGGTGGTTTGCAGTCTGTTGGGAAGACACTGCCACACTGAGGACTGCCTCTCTCCCCACTCTTCCTCTGCTTCAGCCCTCCCCCTTTCTCTGCCCTGGCCTCCTGAGTCCTGAACCCTACCTCCAGCCTTGGCCGGCCTGCTGAGGCCTTTGGGGCTCTAACCCAGGCCAGTTCCTTACTTTCCTGGGATCCTATCTGAAGCAGGTGTTGTGGCTGGCATGGGTATGGGCAGGCATATCCATTCTGGTGGGGCCAACTTCTTACGCTTTTTGCCTTGGCTTCCAGGTAAAGCCTGAATGGGATTTCACCTGTCTGCCTAGGGAGAAGCTCTGTCTGAATGGTTGCCTTAGAGCCCAGCTCTTGTGCCAATGAATTCCAGCCCTGCCTCCTACTGTGTGTCACTGGGTGTGTTACCTAATCTCTCTAAGTCTGTTTCTTCACCTGCAAAATAAGTGTAATACCATTGCCTCAAAAGGCTGTTACCTATTTAGCAGGATGATGCCCGCTGTGCCTGAAATGGTGTTGCATGAGCAGAGGGTTGGGACTCTTCCCTTTCACTCCTTCATGGCCATCAGTGGTCTTCCTGAGCCTCAAGAGGGCAATGGCCTTATTTAGGTTGTAGTGTAGCTTGCATAGCTGATGGCCCCTTCCTCCAGGCTGGCAGGGGCCCCTAGTTCGTTCTGATTTCTACCTGTCTCCCACCTGGCTCAAAAATAAATCCCGACTGCTCAACACTAGTCATGGGGACCCATTCTCATTGCCAGGGATTGGCCTAAATTAAGTCAAGTAAGACACGAACTGAGGAAAAAAAAAAAAAAAGACATGAGCTAAGGTCAGCTGGAGGATGCAAGAGGATTTCTAGGAAGAGGTTTTTTTCAGTGTTCTTAAAAGAAGACACAGTTCCAGCTACATGGGAGGCTAAGGCAGGTGGATTGCAAGTTTCAGGCCAGCCTGGGCAACTTAGTAAGACCCTGTCTCAAAATTTAAAAATTTTAAAAAGAGCTGGCGGTGTAGCTCAATGGTAGAATACCGCTGAGTTCAGTCCCTAAGGACTAAACGGGGGGGGGGGGGGAGATACAGTAAGAGGTATCCCTTTCCCCTGCTTTTGGGCAGTGTTGTATCTAGGTGGGATGCCGGAGCTGCAGCAGCCATCTGCAACTATGAGGAAAGCATAACACATTTTCCTTATGTAGACCACTGGAGGCTGTTCCTTGCAGCCAAAGGCCTCCTAAATGGTATCTGTGTCTTCCTGGCCCATAGTCTCTGAGACAGGGTAGTTGGACCGAATATTGCTGATTGATTTATAAGCTGAATTGCTTTAGTTTAAGGGCCGATGAGGGCTGGGGCATCTTTTTCTTGATTTGGGGGCTTAGTCTGGATAGGGTGAGGTTGCAGTTGGATCCTGAAGCTAGAAGACTCACTGAGTTGTGGGAGGAAGGAAAGAGCAATAGGAGGGCTATAGGGTTGAGGTCAAGCTTACAGTGGATCCAGAACATAGTCTGCCTGGTGCTGCCTTTTCTTTTCCCCAAGAAGCTGCAGCTCTGCTGCTAAGGGGTACAGAGTATCTTTTGGTGTGAAGAAAATGTTTAGCAATTAGATGGTAATGGTTGCCCATCTTTTTAATATACTAGGCATCACTCAATTGTACACTTTAAAAGTGAAATTTGTGTGTCTGATTAATTTCACTTAATATTATGATCTCAAATTCGTCTATTTACCTATGAATGCCTCAAGTTTATCCTTCTTTGTGGCACATGGCAGAGTAATACTCCATTGTGTATAAATACCACATTTTCTTTATCCGTTCATCTGTTGATGGACATACACACTGTTTTCAAGATCTATCTACTATAAATTGTGTTGCTATAAACATGATTATGCATTTACAAACATATAAGCTCAAATATCAGATAGTTTCTCTTATATGAGAAACACTATATATATATATATACACACATATATATGCAAATGAAGAGCAAAATAGAAGTGAGATAAATAGGAAGTAGGGAGAAGTTCATATATTTCCCCAAATTACATATTTCATTGTTGCAAAAATATTTTAATATATATGCTAGCTAATTCATTGCATTTATACTACTAGTTTATCCTAGATCACTGAAAAGAAAATTTTGTGTTATTATCTTTTTGTTTCTTTTGTAAGGCTCTTTTTATTTTATGTCCTGTACTCTGAGTAATTACATCGAAGATAATGAAACACAGTGTATTAACTACTGTTATTCTCTTCTTTTGTTATGAAATCTTGTTTTATTTTTTCATAAATGAAAAAATTAAAATAGTGAATTTCATGGTGTGTGAATTATGAAAAAGAAGAAAAGCCAGGGCTCAGCTGCCCACCTTCCACCCTCTCCTTCCCCTTTGATTGTAACCCTCCTTCACAGGGCCACTCAGTCTAGGAGCAGCCTCCGCAGGTGGCTGTGCCAGAGGCTGGTAAAAGGCTGGCCTTCCACTCACCTGCCATCAGACCCCTGCTTCTTCCCTCCCTGGCCTCCCCCTTCAACCCAAGACAGGGCAATATCTCCTAAGATCTAGTCCTCACTGGCCAAATAGCCTCAAGGTAGAGTGGAGTAGGGGATCAAAATGCTGCTGTGGAGTTGGGTGTAGGGGCACATACCTGTAGTCCTAGCAGCTGAGAGGCTGAGGCAGGATGATCTCAAGTTTTTTTGTTTTTTTGTTTTAGTACCAGGGATCAGACTTGGGGACCTTGCACTTTCAAGGCAGGTGCCAGAACCGCTGAGCTAAATCCCCAACCCTTTCAAGTTAGAGGCTAGTCTGGGCTACCTAGTGAGTTCAAGACCAGGTTGGATGACATAGTGAGACCTTATCTCAAAAAAAAAAAAAAAAAAAAAGAGGGGCCAGGGATTTAGCTCAGTGGTTCAGCTGCCTGCCTCACAAGTGCAAGCACAAGGTCCAAAGTTCGATCCCCAGTACCAAAAAAACAAACTGCTTTTGGGGGCTCTGGGTGTTGTGATCAGACAGAATCATTTCAAATCCTGATAGCTCCTCCACTGCCTACCCGTGCTTTGACATGTTATTTAGATCTCTTGGTGCTTATTTCATTATCTGGCAAATGGATATACTAATTCACAGCTCCCAGGGCTAAATAGCACGATTTACCCAGGGAGTTCAGGGTATTAGTGTGTGACCCCCTAAAATGGTGAAATCCTGATCAGACTGTCTGAATGACAGAGGGTTGATGATGGTGACAGTGACAAGGAAATATTCCCAGCTCTCCAGCTTTACTTAGCTCAAGAGGCTTCCTTCTCCTCCACCTCACCACCTGCCTCTAGCTGACCTCTTTGTGTTTTGCCGTGTGTGTCAAGGGTTGTGGCTGGTGAGAAGAAAAATCATATTTTCTGAATCCCAAATCAGTGTGTATACAGCACAACAAAAATATTTTTCTTTTACTTTATTTTTTCTTTCAATTTCAGAAAGTCTGAAATATAGTTTTGCCAAATGATATAATTTAACGAACAATTCTCTGGCTAATGATGTTTTCCAGTAGCTGGAGAAGACCACGGGTGCCTCACAAGGCAAAGCACAGTGTTCGGTGACTGAATCCACACACACAGTGAGAAGGCTCATTATTCACATTCCCTATTCTTTTCCTCTTCTCTCTTTCTGAGTATTGTCAAGGAGAAAACCTGTTTGGACTTCAACGCCTCTCCAGCCCTTACTAAGATCCCTTCCTAGGGAAGAAAGTGAATATTCAGGGACATGGGGGCTATAGTATCTGGTTAGTATGAAATCAAATGGGTGAAAATTACAGTGACCTGAAGTTTTCTTCTCAATTAAAGTTAATAAATACAGAGCAAATCAATTTAAATAAAAGTGTGAAAAATTAGCAGTAAATAGTAGAACAGGTTGTGGGAGCTGGGGAGTGAAGGTAGCATGGAAGTACCTGGGATCTGAAGACCCTGGATGGTGGGACAACAGGGCTGAGTTTCCTACATGTGCCAGCCTGTGCCACCAGGGCATCTTCTTGGTTGGCCAGGGGCCCTGGAGCTGGCAGAAATGGGAGTTCCCAGGGTTGCATCTGGAATCACCCTGGTCATGAACTGAGATTCTCTGCCCCTACCATTCCTGTCCTGTATCTTGAAGTATCAGGTAGGCGATTTGGGAACACTCATTACAAGTGTGTTGGATGACAGCACCTCAGTTCCTGAGCCTCTGTGACCACGATGATGCTCATGGTAGGAAAGGAAGCTTAACTGTCTCCCAGTTGTCCAGAGAGGCTGAGCCAGTCTCTGGGTCACCCTTGTGCTCTAGGGCTGCCAGAGGCTTCCTAGAGGGGTAGGGTGGGAGAGGTAAGAGAGAGGGTCTTAGAGAGGCTGGGTCAAGTTCAGACATGGCTCAGACATTGTTTTAGCAGTGGGAAGTTTGGGACCCACAAGGGGGTATTGGCCCTCACTTGTTTCCCTCCAGTGAAGGGTACAAACTCTGCCAAGTATGGTGGTGCATGCCTGTAATCCCAACATTTGGGAGGCTGAGGCAGGAAGATGGCAAGTTCAAAGGCCCTGTTTAAAAAAAAAAAAAAGTAAATACTGATGTCTCATCCTCCCCACACCAGGATTCCAGCCCCAGCTTTCCCCTGACTGGCTGTGTGGCTCTGGCCAAGGCACTTACCCTCTCTGGGTCTCAATGTTCCCCTAGATTAAATTGGCCAAATGAAGAGTCCTTCTGGTTCCCACACACAGCGATTGGATGTTCTGCCTCCCTGTGATCCCTGTGGCCCCACCCTTTGTGTCCCTGTCCCTTTTCAGAGCAGACCAAGACACAGCCAGAGCTGGCTGCAGGCCTCTGACTAGGGCTGCCCCAGTCTTCAGCTTGTCCTTCTAAGTGAGGGGTACTGGGTTGAGGCCCAGGAGGCACTGGTACAGCTGGGCAGTGCCCAGTGGCTCTCTTGGAAGGCTCTGGCACTCAGTGAGGCGACTGACGTCCTGGAAGGGAGGAGAAAGAGATGCGGGCAGGGCTCAAGGGGCTGCCCTCCTGAACATGCTGAAGGTTGCCAACTCGAGTTTAAGCCTTGGTTCCAGAGCACAAAGCCTCCTCTCTGGGGGCTTGACCCCGTGGCTCCCACACCCCTGGGGCCAGCTGAGCTGCCCTAAGGGAACTGGCCCCAGAAGGGCCTGGTTGTTGGCTGCAAAGTGGCTGGGAGGGAAGTTTTAATGATACACAACACTAGACACAGGGCAGAGAAGGGAAAAGGGGGGTGGTGGAGGAGCGAAGGGAGGCTGGGGGGAGAAAGAAAGACCTCCTGCCAGGCCTGTTGCCAGGAGACAGCCAGGCAGCCAGAATCAGCCCTGCTCTTTTCACAGTTGCCTTTAAGCAGCGAGAGAAAGCCCAGGCCATAAAGGGAGACATGTGTTGCTGGGTGTGTAAGGCTAGCCTCTGCAGTTAGGGGAGCCCCTGGCCCCCAGCCCTGCCCCCGCTCCTGGGGGTTATGGATGAATGTGGTTGGGCTGTAGAGCAACTGACAAGGACTCAGGAAGGCAAGGTGGTGGCCCTGGTCACTATGATGTCACAGCCACCTCTGGGGTGACACTCACTATGCAGGTGCCCCAGGAAGCTAGCAGAGAGGACAGGGGAATCCAACATGGCATATCCATCCCATGGAAAAGTATTTCTGTTGGTTTTGACTGGGCCACTGGGGCCTGGGGCTGTCTAGGGTCCTAGGAATCATCAACAGGGCACTCAGAAGGTGTGGGATTGGGAGCAAAGTCTTCAAACTTGCACTCTGTCCACCCTGTCCTTGTCACAGACCCCCATGGAGGGAACAGGCTGCTCCTAGATGTGCTCTGACACTTGGAGACTGTTCTTGCAGCACAGGAAATGAGTGCATCTGTATCCCTGCAGAGTCTACATAGAGGCCAGGAGAGTAAATAGAGGATGAGGACTGTTAACAAAACCAGGTCTTAAGTGTTCCAGGCCCTGGCTGTCAACAGAGAGCCATGTAATCGAGTGAATGTGCCAGGTGCTCCAGCTGAAGCAGTGCACCAATGGAAGCTGCTGAGGGATGGGGGAGAGCGTCTGCCAGGGTTCCTTTGACTCAGATAGTGAGCTTCTTGGGATAAAGCCCATGCAAACATGTGTTCCTATGTCTCACTGAAAACAGGCTGCAATTTCTGCTACTTCTTGTCCCTGTCAAGTTAGATAAAGAGCTGTTTCTTTTGTTCTTCCAGTAAGCCACCAAAGCCCCGGCTCTAGTCCTGTGAACATTACCCCCTAGAATCAGGGTTCCTGATAGGAAGACACACACAGTAACCCACCTCAGCTCCCCTCCTACCTGGCTGAGCCTGACTTCTCTTTATCCCATCCGGGAACTGCTGAAGGCTGACCTGAGCTCGCACCTGGTGTTGTCCTCTGCTTGGTGCCCAGGACCACCTTGCTTCCCTGGCTGTCCTACCAGGCTGTCTGGGTGTGAATGGGCGTGTGTTTGTGTGTGAAAGAACATGGAGGAGAGCTAGTGCTGGATGAAATCAGACACCATGTATCTCACAGGAGATCCTACTCCACACATACATGTGTACTGCAACATTTCCCCTTCGTGGATATCCTGGAACCCAGGGCTCCCAAGGAGGGTGTAGGGTTGTACAAAGGGACTCCTGACAGGAAGACTTGCTTTCCCTCCAACTTCCTTTGCATCTTTTTTCCTGCTGAAGTATGTGGTTTTGCTAGTCCTGGAGTCTTTCCCTTCTCCATCCTGGGGCAGGCCCCACCCCAGGGATCAAGACTTGCTTCCAGAAGGCCCGAATCATCACAAATTATCACTAGGCAATAACCAAAAGACAGATTTGCAATTCTCAGGAGAAGGGTGCTGAGTGAGAGGAGAGGTTGGTGTCCTTGCAATGACTGGAGGGGTAGGTGGTGACTGGTTCCAATTGCAGAGGCCTGGGAGAGGGCAGGCTCTGGGGTAGGGGTGGGAGTTGCAGAGGGGTGGCCATCAGGGAGTGTCCTGGGAGTGACAGGCAAGTTCTGCTGGGCCTGCACACTGGCAAACTCTGTGCTTCTGCTATTTCTTCATAACTCAAACCAGCTTCTCACAGGGTCCCCAGCCCCCAGGTGCCACCTCCCCATGAATACCCCTTTTTGGCTTGTGTGGGGGTGGTTCCTGGGAGCCCACCTTGCCTCAGAAGTGTTCCCCAAATTGCCCATTGGTGAACTCCTGTGTCAACCTTCCTCCCTAGAAAGGATCAAGCCCCCTAGGTGGTCTCCCTTATTTTAAAAAATTTATTTCTTTGCTTATTTATTTTGCAGTATTGGAGATTGAACGCAGTACCTGTGCACTAAGCTACATCCCAAGTCCTTTTTTAAAATTTTGAGACATGGACTTGATAAGTTGTTAATTTGCCCAGGCCAGGCCTGAACCTACTTATCCTCTTGCTTCAGCCTCCCGGAGTGTTGGGACTACAGGCATGTGCCCATTTATTTATTCATCTTGCAGTGCTGGGGGTGGAACTCAGGACCTCACACATGCTAGGCAAGCCCTCTAACACTGAGCTACATCCCAGGCCTTTCCCTTGTTCTGAATGGGAGACCAACTGTTAATGTGATCTCTTGGGTCCTACTCTCTTCTATCTTTTGCCTTCTGAGTCCCATCAGTAGAGTAATACCTGTCCCAGAGCAGCTCTTGTCTTTCACTGAAATTTGTCCCCAAAGCTCAGGACAGGTGGTCAGGTGTGTGTGTGTGTGTGTGTGTGTGTGTGTGTGTGTCTGTGTGTGTGTGTAGTGTCTCTCCTAATGGACCCTGGAGAGACCCAGCTAGGTTAGTGGGAAGTGAAGAGGCCTCAGCCCTGATGCCCCCTTCACTCCTACCCTTTCCACCCTTGCTCAGGGTCTTGACCATGAGGGTGATCTACCTTTGATAACCATAGACATCCCCCCAAAATGATCCCAGGAGAAAGTGGAGATAGAACTCTTCTCCTTGGGACAGGATCCTTCCCTTAGGGCCAGGTTCCGCCTCTGGGGCCCTGGAAGTCCCCTAGACCTCAAAGGTATTGTGCCCACAGATCTGGACAGCCTGGGAGGATGGTTGGGGTCACAGTGACACCTGCTGGAGATCCCAGGAAAGCAGCCTCTCTGCGCGCGCGCGCACGTGTGTGTGTGTGTGTGTGTGTGTGTGTGTGTGTGTGTGTGCGCGCGCTAATAATACCTCACCACAGATCTTGAAATTCACCTCAGATATTGAACTCCCATTCCCTTTCCAGGAGAGAAGCTCAAAAAAGTGCAGAGTGAATTGAGGACTTTGGAATTCCAATTGGAAGACCCAATGAAAATCAGGGTGGATATGAGAAGCAGTCCTTGGAATTAAAAAAAAATTCATTCATGAAATATGGTTTCTAGGGACGGTTTCTCTTTTTCATGTACCCACAAAAAAGTCTGAGATTTTCCTTTGGATTTCTATGTGAAATGGGGTTTCCAGGGCAAAGAACAAGTACACATGTTGCATATCTTTGTGTTTTATTGCACTGATAAGAGGAAGCAAAGTATAGTATGTTATACTGCAAATGTCAATGATTAAAAACAGGTTGAGGTGGTCATTGTAAATGTCAATTGCTGAGGAAATTGGGAGGAATAAATATGATAATGAAATGAATTAGCACAGTGCTAGACATTTGATAATACTCAATATGTTGGGGCAATTCATCCATAGAATTGAAAAATGCCCAATGGAGAGAGCAATTGGCCATGCTGGGGAGCCAGCTAGAGGTGAGCAGTTGCCCACCCTGGTTGGATGCCACCAGCTGACCTCTGTCCTTCTAACACAGAGACTGCTGCTCAGTAAGCCCTGGAAAAATTTAAAAGTCATATGTGTAAATGAAGAAATCCAGGGATCAGAATTATGGTGTGTAAAAGAACCCTTCACTTTAGGAAGATATAAGCATAGGACTCTTGCAAATATTTCACATAACATTTGTTTTACCCGTTTACTTGTGAATCAAACTCCACTGCAGCAATGGGGCTCGAGAGATAACCTGCTCAAGGAGCCTGGTGCTGATGCTCCTTATGCAGAGTTGGAGGATGAATGGGAAAATGTATTAGTCCACAGTCACCAGGCTCAGGTCTCGGTGTATTACATTTTTTTCCCTCGTAATCCTCACTGAAGCCCCGAAAGAGCTGGTGCCACCTGTGCCTCACCAGGAAGGGACTTGTGGCCCAGGGAGCCTGTGTGACCCAGTCAAGCTCACAGTCCTAGTAAGTGCTTAAAATAAGATTTGAACCCAGATCTTGGCTTTCATTTCAAAGCCAGGGCTCTGGGGTGACTTCAAAGGGCAGAGGCTGGGTTCGCAGGAGGGTGGTGACATCTCTGCTGGGAATGTGCATGGGGAAAGGTTTGTCCACCCAGACTCAGTCTTCCACTCACTTGCAGAGGATCCACCTGCTGATGCCTTTAGGGCAGACACACACAACTATACTGTGCACTGCAAAAAGGTCCTTAACTTAGGGACCATTCACATTACAGGAATATCTGCAGGGGCCATTTTCTAGCAGCTGGAAGCTCCGCCTAAGAGGAGGAAGCTGTTTCTAAATCTCCCAGGGGGGCTGTCAGCCTCATCCACATGCACATCTCCTGTTCTTCTAGGAGTAAGGGTGTGAGCAGGCATCAGGCAACTCCAGGCTGAGCCTCAACCGCCAGGATCCTTTCACATCTCGGTCCCCTTTCTGCTTCTACCTGGAATGATCAGAGGGAGAAAAGCCACACTGTGCCGCTGGTCTTGCAGCTTCCTGTCAGAGCTATCTGGCCGATGATTCAGGCTTTTGCTCTCTCTGCTGGAGCAGGACCTCATGACTAGTGTGCAGTCGGGAGGGAAAGGAGCGAGGTGAGTGGGTGGAAGGGAAGAGATGGAGCAGGGCTCCCTTTTAAATAAATTACAGAAAAAGTTTTTTCATAGGTCATTTGGGAAATGGAAAGGTGCTGATGCTCATGCCAATGAGTTGAGGTCTGCTGACAGCCTGTTTCCCGGAGCCACGTTGGCTGGAACGCACATGTGAGTATAGACAGCTCCAAGCAGATGCAGTCCATTCAAATCTGGGCTTAAAACACAGACACTTTGGAATAGAGGATTTTAAAAAATGTATTTGTTTTTGTTAGTACATGTTTATAGTACATAAAGATCGCACTCCTCATGGGGAGTTGGTACATGTACATAACACATCTTAATTCTTTTTTATTCCCTTCCTTTCCCCTCCCTCCACCTCTTGGTCTTCTTCCCATGTGCAAAAGATCCAACTTGCTATTTGCTATTATCTTTTATTTTGCTCTTTATTTATATTTTGGGTTTCTCATATAGGAGAAATCATGTAATCTTGTATATCTGACTTATTTCACTTAACACTGTGGTCTCACTGGGCGTGGTGGTGCATACCTGTAATGCCAGCACTCAGGAGGCTGAGTCCTCTCAGGAGGATTGCTGCCAGATGGGGACCAGTCTGGGGTACATAATGAG